AAAGAGACTGCAGAGAGGCGTGTAAGATGGCAACCTTGCGTCCTGGACTCAACTCTGGGTTGTCATCATTTAGGTTGTAAAATAAACTCATCCAGATTTCTAGATATGAGAGCCACACCATCCAAATTGGGATGGATGCTGTCAGCGAAGCTGTAAATACGGGTCCTGGAGAGAACCAGGAAAAAACACAAGAAACACAAGCCACTGAGGCAGTGCTGACCTTTGATGACCTGTTGTCAGAAATGACCTTACAAAAAGAGCTGCAGGAGGCTATTGACCAAATTGTCTTTTTGCAGTTAGAAGTCCCACAAGAACAGCAAGAATGGTCACAAAGAAAAAAGGGAAGTAACCCACATCCCTGCAGAGAGAAAGTGCAAGGAGTGTGTGTGAGTGTGCGACACAGAGAAGAGAAAAATAAAAAAAATAAAGACACACTTAAGTTTGTAAAAATGATGATTTCAAGGCTAAAAGTAAAGATTTGGTTGATAATTACTGTTTAATCATTGTCTAATCAATGATAATCAATGTTTAGTCAAGTGTTGTAATCAAAATATAGAGATCCACGTTTTAATTTTAAGGCATTGATAGTTTTGTGTAAAATCAGTGTGTGTTTCTGATTGTTTAGTTAAAAGCAATTATGGGATTTTTTTGTATTTCAATCAGATGTGAGTTTCCTGTATTTTTATTAGATATAAGGATAATTTAGTTTTCTGAGAAAAGAGAAGTAGAATTAGAAGCTGAATCACAGTGGGGTGGAGGACAGTTACCGGCAATGGACAGGAGCTTTGACAGTAAAAGATATGAAATAGTTCTGAAGAACATGACTTTGCATGCCAAATAAGATTAACTGCAATCTGCAGCATCTGGTTGGAAGGACTATGCTTATGAGATGAGAATCCTTTAAAAACCCTGGCAAAAAGAGAAATGAGAGCATTCACAGTTGCAGCCAGAGGCTCTGTCCGGATGATTGTCTGACTTCCAGAAGACAGAGAAACTGCAGAGAGGCAGTCCGGGAGAGCACCTCTCTGGGGGTGCTCCCCCGCAGGCGCTCGGAATGGGAGGAATGGATGAAACCACCAAAAGAGCCGCTATGGAGAGCAGGATGTTGGCATGGGACATTGAACTGTGCCAAAGCCTCATGATTCAGCCATGAAAATGAATTTTTGCCTACAAAAGGATTTACGATGAATTTTTGTTTAAAAGCGGATTTACAATGAATTCTTGCCTAAAAGACCATTTACTCCGAAATGAAGATTTTCAACAGAAAGTCACAATACACCCCACCTTGAGCCAGCTGAGAATGGATCCAGTAAAAAAAACATTGACTTTTATTCAGATCAAGAGCTGAACCAATGATAATGTTTTTAATCAGTATGATCATTTTAGATGTTTAGAAACAGTAGTTGTTGATTTATTTAGATTTTAAGTCAATCAACCGGCACCTGTGATGTATTTTTGCTGCCATAGCTTTCCCAATTTCCTATGCCCCTGTGGGGAGAGCCCCAAGCTGTGCAGTGAGGGAGGAGATGGATGCAGAGAGGAATGCCACATTGTCAATTGCCGCGCCTGTCTGCATTGGTGAATGCAGTCCGAAAGACGAGTGGTGAACTGGTCCCATGGGAGTGGAGGAGTAAGCCACCTCCTGCCGAAGGACATCACCTTGGGGAGCAAGATTGAATAGATGCATGTCTCCAGTGGTGGAATGGTAGGGAAGCTGAGGTCTGTCACTCCCTACACCCTAGTGAGGGACTCGAAGTGAATGACCGGAGCCCGTAGGCTCCCAGGCTGCTCGGCCACCCCTGAGTAGAATGGGCAGATGGTGGGAAAATCAGGCAAGACAGGGGGGTGCTTGCTCCACTGCTCCATCATGTATAAATCGTCCATCATGTCTGAAGGGGGAGGAGTGGGGGCAGCCAGCAAGAGAGGAATGCCCTTGCAGTCTGCCATAATTCTGATGATTTCTGGCAGATTGTGGAGCAGAGCCCCAAAGCCAGATGCTGACCGGTGGCAGGATCGTGTTGCTGAGCCAGAGGAAGCTTGTCTTCACCAGCATCCATGTCAACTGATGGGTTGAAGGGAGAGCCGGGAACAATGAAAGGAAGCCAGTCAACAGACTTGGACACATTTGTACTGCCTATGCCGAGGAACTCCAGTGGGTCATCCACCAAGGGATCGTCACCGCTGTTTGCCCAGCTGCTATCATCATCAGGATCTCGCTCTCTGGCAGCTGCAAATGACTCAGCCCATGGCTGCTTCTCTGCTGCGGGTAAGCAAGCACAGAGGGGGCTAGCAGCCTGGAGGAGACTGCCAGCTCGGCGTTCTCTGCACCGAGGCAGGCCTTGCAGCGGGGGTGTGGGTCACTGGGCATGATGAGGCCCATATTACAGCCTGGGCACATGGTGATGGCAGTGCGGCACTGCTTGTAGACTGCTGATCTCACATTGGCATTTATGCCAACACAGCAGACCTGAGTGGGAACAATCCAGTGCCGGACACATGGCGTGAAAGAAATCTGTTCAGGACTGTGCATGCGTGAGAGATAAACCCAATAGCAACAGCTCTTAGAGGCCTATACAAAATAGAACTGCAAGACAGAGTTAAAACTGAGGAATACAAGGGTCAAATTAGACATTGGCAACAGCGCCAGCTGTAGGAAGAAAAGCAGGACTGTTATCTGTCCTAATTCATTTCAAAGAAACAACTGAACTATGCATTTTGATTATACACCTATGCATGTTTATTCTCTGGCAGCGAACAGCTGCAAATACAGACATCCTCTTGAACATGATGTTGTTTGCAGCTGCTGCATAAAGTCAAACATCAGTGAGCGATACAATACAGTACACAATAGATACACACTTTAAGATAATGTTGTTTCATGATACCTGAAAACAATCCAACCATTTTCTTCCCAGCAGCAGTGTGGAAGTGGACTCTGTGGCACTTGGTGGACTCCTGCTGTTCACAGGAACCCACTCCACTCCTCCTCCTCTTCTGGTAGTGGTGGATTGTATGTACATTTATATGTGTGTGTTTCCTGTGCAATAGCCACTGCGAACACACTGACCACAAAGTACATGGTGCGGTTTTCCCATCTCACAGTGCAGCTTTCGTCCATGGCAGTGTCCCAATAGCAGGAGTTGGCTGTGTGGAGGCAGGCCCTCGTCTTCTGCATCACAGCATACTTCATAATGTACTTGTAAGGCTTCCCCTGTCTGACCAGCTGTGTGAGGCAGCGCTCCAGGATGGCGCTGTCCATTTGTTCACCTGACTGTAGTCGTCACCACCTACAACGTGCCCGATGCACTCTTGACAATGGCATCAGCTTCTTCAGAGCTGAAGGAGCCCTCTGAGACGACGGACTCTAGGTGACCTGACACATGTGATTCAGACCAGATGCATCCATTCTAGTTCCAGTCTAGCTAAATTAATTCATGCTAACATGCTGACATCAAGCTAAAATAACCCTGTTAATTTTCCCTCAGCTAATTTGGCTCTTAGGAAGCAATTTGATGACTGATTTGTTGACCCAGGATGAAAGCAAAAAGACCAGAAGTCAAACTATCAATTTGTTGTGATCAGTGGTGTCAAAAGCAGCACTGAGAACTAGGAGGACAAGTATAGAGAGGAAAACAATCAGATGAAACAAAAGCACAGAAACTAGTCAATCAGTGGTTCAGGAAACTGGCAGAGTTTTCAAATAAGACTTGAAAGTGGCAGAGTTAGGGCACATTTCATTGGGAAGTTGGTTCCATCTGTGTGCAGAATAGCAGCTAAAAGCATCTTCACCCTGTTTGGTTCTTTAATGCATTTTGTATGAAGTCATGTATAATGAAGTGCATTAAGCTTTTTCACTTTGTTATGATTTCTGGGTCCTTCTGACAGTCTGGGGACAAGACAAAACTCCACGAGAATAGTTAAAAATAAGATTGATCCTATTTATCACAAGAACACATTTGCATTTATATTACTATTTATGTGTTGTTATATTTTACTATGAGCCACAAATGCCCTGCACAATGTGTATGTATAATAATATTTGCGTAATAATAATAATAATATTTTACTGCAAGACACAAATGACCTGCACAGTGTTTCATTCCACAACATTTACAGTAAAAAGTCTCATCAGCCCAGGTTAATGTGCTTCACTCAGCACTGAGGTTTGTATTTATGAGAATAAACAGTTCACAACATGGCTGATTGACAGAATGAGAATCTCTGTGCCTGAAGCCACTGCCAAAGGTCTGTGTGGTGCTGCAGCAGAACAGTCTGCTCAGAGGTGACACAATGTTTCTAAAACAGTGTAAAAATGACCATTCACTGATACTTCCAGCCCTGTCTACAGGATCTTGACCTCCCGGGAGTTATCCTGCAGTATTCTGAGTGTGATGATGAGTTTGATAGCTTTTCTAAACCAGGGGTAGAACATAGCATAAATCAGAGGGTTCAAACAAGAGTTCAGTAACTGGATCCACATCAGTATTGGATAATAGGACAAATTGGTGGAGGTGTTCACGCCTGCAAGAATGGGATAGTAGTATGGGCAGAAACACATTAGAAACACTGCTATCAGAATCCCCAGAGTCCTGGCTGCCTTGGGCTGTGATTTTCTAGCAGTTGGAGCTGCTCTGGCCTTGGTAGCAGCAGCCTGTGACTGAATTACTCGCATCTGAGAAAGGGCAGCCACAAACACTCTAATGTACAGCACAACCATGACAGTACAGGGCCCAATAAAGGTCATGAACATGTCAATAGTTGCTGAAATCTGATTGATGACCACCACACACTCCCCATAGCAGGAATTGAATTTGTCCGGTTGTACTAAGTGGTCCATTAGAATTAACCCGTTGTAGATAATTGAACAGGCCCAGCAGAGACAAATACAGATTTTAACAATAGTGAGTGTGACCTTAGAGGAGTAGACCAGTGGGTCACAGATAGTCAAATAACGGTCGATGGATATGAGCACCATGTGGCCCAGAGCACCAGTGGCCAGACAGTAAAAAACATAAGTAGACAGAGCACACATTATCCTCCCCAGCAGCCAGCATGACTCAATATAGCGCAGGCCTTCGACAGGCATCACCAACAGACCCAGCCCCAGGTCACACACAGCCATAGACTGGAGCAGAGTGTTGGTCGGGGTGTGGAGCTGCCGGAAGTGGGAGATGGAGA